ATTGAAATCATTTACATAGTTAGCAAGTTTGGTTATTGAAATGGTTCTGTTAATATTATCAACGAGATATGGAAATAATTTGCGAAAAATTCCTCTTGGATTTGGTTCACACAAAGAAGGTTCAATAAGTGAGATAAATAATTCGTAAGTCAATTCTTCTGTCACAAAACTAGTAGGATCTAATTCGATTGGTCCCAGTCCAAACGAAAGTTCAAAAAAATCAGAAATATTAAGATCTGAATTCTGACTTGCCATAGTTAAAAGTAATTTGTTATTTAATGTGTTTTTATAAAACTATTTTAAATTTATATTATTTATATTAATAATTTGTTTATAAAACTTTATACTGATTGATTTAATATACTTTAAAGTTTTCGTGTAAGGGAATTTATCTTGTGATACATTTTTTAACGCCGAAGTGTTATATTTCTTACAAACAATATTACTACGTATTGGAAATTAATAATAATTAAATTATTTGTTTGATCAATTCCAAATACAGTATGCATGCAAAATTAAATTGCAACATAATGTATAAACACATGATGTTATTAAATGTTTTTAATTTTTTCATTATTTACGAAGTGATGACTGGTGTTATTAACGTGTACCACATTTATATATCCAATAAGTATCTGTGTGACGTTGTTACGCAAACCAGTAACTAATCGTAATAACAGATTTAGGTGTAAAAATTGTTTGGTGTAAAGCAGTGTTACGATTTAAGTTAGTAGTTGATAATCAGGGGTTGTAATTTATTTAGTACGAAAGAGCATTTATTCTAGATCAGTTAGTACGAATGTAAATGCATAAACACTTATCCAAATCAAGTATTTGAGAAAGTTCTAGAGCCTTAATAAAAAGGAGGATAACAAATGCCTTTAAGCACTTCATATATACTCTCGACAAGCATTAGCATATATTTATCTGTATGGTAAACTAGATCGAAAGTAGGTTACACAAGCGCAAATACTAATGTGGGATGGGATATTTAATACTACAGTAATTTCAAGTTATTGAGTCATTCTTCTGAAAGAACACAATGCTGATAAAGAGTATTCTCAAGTGTATCTCAATGAACTTATAGAACGATCTGGTTGACTAAAAAAAAATTGATGATAACCATTTGAGTCAAAAAATCTGGAACAATGACCACCAAAAGATTTGCTCTGATTGGTTATTGAGAAACATCCCGATCACTATCAAATTACATTAAGAGAGCTGCATTAGATACCCAAAGTTAGCTAGCATTAATATAGTGCTGGTCGATCAAGTCCGGATTATGTTTTTTCTGGAAAATAGCTTTCGGATGCTGTAATAAAAAAGCAAATACTGTATATAATTTATTGTATACAATAAATAGGGAAATTCCATTTTCACTCGGGTTGGAGTCTAATTATTCATTATATTATATAATAGAAATTTATATAATATCTTAAAATTCATCTACCCTAATCGCTAATATACAGAATTATGTATATATATAATATGATATCGGGTGACTCTAACCGGGTGAAAATAGAACGTCCCAATAAAATAATGTGTGAAATAATTGTTGCGGCTAAAGGTGGAAGTTAAAGACCTCGATTTAAAAATATAAACCCTGACAAAATCCACATACACTCTTTTATTATCAACAAAAAGGAGCAAAAAAATACGCCACAAAAATTATTTTGAAGATTTCATATTAAAATATGTAAAATTTCCAGTCTCAGTCGTGACAATAATTATTGCACACTGCATAGTATAACGATTCTATGTTTATACAGTAATTATCTCATTAAAAGTCAACATCATAATACAAGCCTGTGATTGCTAAAATTATCAGTTAATTTTACTCAACGAATTTCTAGTAATGTGTATATTTTTTTTAAACTTTGAGCAAAGATTTCTCGATGTTAGCCTGGACATTTCGATGTTTAGAATCATTTTTGAATTCTACTAACCTGTATAATTTGAAAATAGCTTCAAATATCAAAATATACAAGACATTATTGTGATACTTTCGCTCAAAAAGTTTGTAAAAATTTAAGTGAATAAACTAAAAATTTTCTACTTTCATCTAGTTAACCAATTAACTGCATGATATAAAATACTAATAAATGTTATACTGTACTATCGTAGAAATTAGTATCTATTGAGAAACTTTTGAAATTGTTATTTTAAATAGCAATTCGTAAAAACAATAGTGAATTTAAAGAAGTTTTACAGATTTTTGCGTTATGTGTGGTCACTTTAATTTGAAAAGCATAATAATTCGTACATTATATTGTAATTTGTTGTAATTTGAATTCTTATAATTTCAAAAAACGGGTTAAAAAAAAATAAAAATAAGAAATAAATAAAATAAAATAGAGAAAAGAAAAAACCAGAATCCTTGGTACTATTTAATGTAATTTAAAAGGTGCTTTTATCTTTTTAAACGTATGTTGATGCAGGCAAATTTGCCTACAAAAATTTATCTATAATTACCCCGTTAAAAGTCGCTATATAAATGATCTAATTGAGTTATGAGTGTGTTGGATGTGCCGTTTAGAACTTGTCAGATATCGGTATATCGGAATTTAAATTATCATTAAATAGGTATAGATGACACGTTATGTACAACTTATGGTTTGACTAGGTGATACACACACGTAGCTTCTACAGAGGGTATTTAGCTAAACTAAAAGGAGAGTAAAGGCAAGTTGCTGTCAAAAGTAGTTAAAAATGGTATCAGCTAAAAGCTCTTCGCGAATAGTATTATCAATGATGATGCCACGTATGTATAGGTCTATGTTATGATTTATGTGAGTTGAACTAGCAAATACAATTTTGATTAAAAATTTGCAGGAAAATTTTCCTGCAAAACAGTTAAAGTGCATTATTCAATTTTTATTTATTCGATTCAAAATCAAGTCTAAGATTCCTATTGTCTAGGTGCAGTATCAGGAAAGAGAAATTTTGGAAATTTTTATTTCTAGGCAAGAAATTTAAATTTAAGAAACTTTGAAGATTTTCGTGATGGTCGATCATCATCTGATACCAGTAGTTTGAAAAGCGTGATAAATAATATAGGTGGCGCTTTTCACCACCTGTTGTTCTAATATAAATTTCATAAATTAACATATTTTCAAATTGGCGTGGCCACCGAAAATTAGCAAGATTACCTAATTTTAGCACTTTTGCGAATAAATCCCTTACAAATAAAAAATTTTAAATTTCTTTTCTATTTCCACTTTTCTAACACTGTATACGTAAGTTTGGCCAGATAATATTGGGATTTTTTTTTTTTTTACTAATTCTAAAAGCATAGGAATTTTGCAAAATAGTCTATAAAATCATAATCAGTATCTATATTTAATTACTTAAACTTTTGATGACACATTCTTATGATGAAGACCTCCAATAGCGTATTGTCTACTTACATCATGATGGTTAATCAAGAGATAGAATCACTACTATTTGTTAGTAAAAAAAAGGTTAAGGATATACAAAAAATAAGGTGTAGTTGTTTATCCATGGGACCAAGTTACAGGCCGCGAAAAACATTTAGTTGAAATGATATGACTGATGGTATAAAGTTTTATAAACAAATTATTAATATAAATAATATAAATTTAAAATAGTTTTAT